CATTAAAGGGTCACGTGACCCTCACGTGACATGGTCAACGTCGGAAAATAAAAGTCAAATGTGTCATTCCGGTAGAAGGTAGTCAATTTCAACATTTTATATTTTATAAGGTAGTTAATTATAATATTTTGTTTTTAGGGTAGTTTTTCACAAAATCTGGAGTTTAAAAGATAGTTTTTCACAAAAAATCCTAAATTTATTAATCAAAATTCAGCAAATGATAGTTTTAAGGAAAAATTGTCAAAAATAATACAAATTGGAACGATTAATTAAAATCAAGTTGAACTTTTTATTATTTCTAAATAATAGAAACTTTGGGGGGTTTCCGCCTAAAACAAGTTATAATCATTAGTGACTTGATTAGCAGGTTATATGAGACATGTGTCAAATTTTATTGGTTTAGCTATTTAATTTGATTATTTATTTATTTATTTATTTATTTAATGTGTTTATTTTTAAAAGATTATTATTATTATTTTCTTAAAAAAAAAAAACCATTCCCCACCCAACCCAGCCACCACTACCAATGTTCCCAATCCTCCGACGCCTGCCAGGTCTAAATCTACCCTCCCTCGGTGCCGCACCGACCCCTCCTCCCCTTTTTGCACGTCGCCCCCTTTCCTTCTTACCTCTAACCACCAAATCTCCTCGAAACTACCATTCCTCCGCCCACAAAGTGCCCTTAAACCCATCCCCCACCTTTGAAAACTCTAATCGAAACCCTAGAGATGGTGGGGAAGGTCCGATCAGGGTTTTTCGATGGTGTTGGAATAATTTTAAGGGGTTTTGTGGGGAAGGAGGAAGATTTCGAGGAGAGGGTGGGGGTTGTTAATTTAGGGGAAGTGGGAAATGGGTAAGCGCGACGAGGGCGAGGGGTCAGCGCCGGGCCAGGGGACAGTGTGTTTGGGCGCGGCTGGCGCCGGAGGGCAGGGAATCAGGTTGTTGTCAAGGCGCCGGGAAAAGGGAAGGGGGTGGCAGGCCCGGCGTCGGTGGCTTGTGGGGAGGTGGTAAGGGGATGGGTTTTTTTTTTTCAAAAAAAAAAACAATTTCTTTTTTTTTAGGGCAAGCAAACAAAAGATTAACCATTAATCGCAAGAGTATCCATGAGTACATAAGGAGCTACATTGGGGGAACATAATTCTCCCAAATTTGTTCATAACCAATGGAATGTATCTAGCAAGATTGTGAGCCACCACATTACCCTCTCATTTGACATGTCTCTAAAGAAGGCTTGAGAAATCAGTGCTCAAAGACATAGCTTCACAAAGCAAAACATCTAAATCCGTGAGATAAGCAGCTCCCTTGGTCAATCGGCTAACAACAACCTGGCAATCTGACTTGATTATCACCTTATTATCGCAGCTGAATCTTCAATTCGACCCAACCTGATAGCCATCACAATATCTTGTTTAAAGTGGAAACCTCCCAAAGTTTGTATTATTTAGAAATAATCAAATAAAGTTTGACTTGTTTAGCGGATCGCTTAAATTTTGTATTATTTTTGACAATTTTTCCTAGTTTTAATTGAATGACATTTTTATAATTTTGGAACAATTTTTTAAAAAAAACCATTTTGGAACATTTTTAATATTAATAACAGTTCAATTATTATTATGAAAAACGCTTTCATTAAAAACTATAAGAAACTAGGGTTGTCAAAAGTTGACACGACAAGATAACCTCATAAAAGAAACCACAAACTGATACTACAAACTCAAATAAAATTAATTTTAGCTTATTATATCGATAGAATATATTGGAAGAAAATGACAAAAATATGGACCTTTATAAAAAAATTCTACTGATCATCTATTGATATGTGATTTACCATACACTAATATATCATGAAAATTTACAAATAAATAAATAAATAAATCAACAATCATCAAAAAGAATATTCTATACAAACTAAATTTACATTTTTATAATCTAAAAATAAAAATAAAAAAAATTAATCATCAAAAAGAATTTTCTATACAAACTAAATTTACATTTTTATAATCTAATCCATTGGACAATTGAACTCTTTTTTTATTTTTTTTTTGTGTGTGTGTGGATTACGTTTATAATCTAATAACATAGCACATATTGATACCACACAAAATAGAGTATACCAGATTTTATTCTATTATAATTAGGAATTCCCTATAATTAAAAAAATCACTTTTATATAAAAAATTATCAGAAATTACTTCTTACTAAACAGATAATATGTACTTATACCAGATCAAATCTTTTTACCCACCATACATATTATCATTAATGTGCTATGCTTTGCTTCAAAAAAAAAAAAAAAAAAATGTGCTATGCTTTTTTTTACCTACGGTACAGTAAACATGTTTAAATAAATTAACAAAAATACATCAATTAGATGTATAAATAATGAAGTTTAAGAATAATAATAATCAGGATTATGATGAAAAAGTTTGAATTATTGAATTATGTTCAAAATCATTTATGTAATTTAACAAATGTATTTTAATTGACAAACATTTAAATAAAATCAATAAAATAATTTATAATCATCACCTAAATTTTAATTATGACATATGTTAAAAATAAATAATATATTTATCCATTGTAATAGTGATACATTGCATCACATTGATTTAGTAATACATGGTGGTACGCGTCGTTTACTGTAGAATTTTCGTGGATGGAATACTACTAAACAAACCTCGGGATGCATCAAACCCATAATCTTTAGAGTCATGTTGGTTTGATTCACCACTATTGGGTAGGATTGGACCCAAATTTTGAAATATCAATCCCACGGACACTAACGCACCGAGCCAACCCATGTGTTGGTTTAAAGATTGTTGTAAGGATTGGCCCAAGCTACGAACTTCTTTTTTTAAAAAAAAAACATTATGTTTATACTCCGTTTATTTCAAAATGAATTACATTCTATTTTTTCACAGATGGCTATGTAAAATTTTAAAATTTTATATCTCTAATTTATTGATTTGTAAAAGTTAATACACATTAACTTGAATCTAAAAATATCTTACATGTCTATATTCTATAGTTCACATCAAATGGAAAAATTCTCATGAAACATTATTTGATAATTGAAATTGAAATGGAGGTATGTAACATCTATATAAATAATAATCATAAGAAGTATAAAGTAGGTATGTCAACTAGACTATATCTCCAAGCCTTGGCTTACACTCTTCCTACTAGTGCTACACTCTAAGGGGTTGTTTGGTATGAGTTTTTGATATGGGTGGAAACGGAATCAACTTACCGTTTTCCTTATCATGTGTTTGGTTGACAAGTAAAGAAACAAAATCCGTTACCTTGTGTTAACCGTTTCCACCCTTTTGTTTCCAGGGTAAATCTTGGGGAAACGATTAACGTTACTTGCCTCTATCACAAAAGACAAATTATTTTCTTTCTCTCTCCTCTCGATCTTCATTTTTCATGAGAATTTCCAATTTTTTTTGACAGTTCAGTTGAGAATTCTCCTAAGAAAATTGCTAGTCTTCATATTTTGCTCCATTTTTTACAATCTTCTACCTCAAATTTGTAAGTATTTTTGAATTTGTAAGTTTATTTAGTATGATTGTTTGTTGACATTTATTCGTCACTAACAATTTAATTATACATTAATCTAACTATATAAGATTGATGATGTTAAAGGAGTGTAAGTTATCTTGTCAATCTATATTGTGTTGCACACAAAGTGTTGGATGAATTGTTTAGCTCAGAAAACTACGTGTCATAATTGTTGCGATTATGATGAGTACTTTATCTAGTGATACTTTTATTTATGCACACAAGCTGTTTGATGAAATGTTTAGCTAAGTTGAGTTTATCATCTTCTTGTTTTATTGCCCTTATTTGATTACTTGTATATTCCCAGATGTTGCAACCATCAAGTTTTCCAAATTCACTATATTTTTATAGCAACATTATTCTCATCTTCCCATTTCAATAATTACACGACACTACTTTTATAATCTCGGGACTGGCTAGTGCATGGTCTAAAGCGGAAGAAAGGGAGCAAAGAATGGATGAAAAAGTGAATAAGGTTTTGGATGAGGAGATGACATTAGATGAAATTTCTCCATCCAAAACTTTAGAGGTTGCTAGAATTCTTATGGCGGAAGAACATAACCTCCGCATCTTCTATCAAGCGCCAACTAATATTAAGAAACAATATGCAATTGATCTCTTTAAGAAGAAGTAGAAAGTTTTGTCAAAAGTTGTTATTAGAGTTAATGTTTCAATGGTTTTTAAATGCTTTTCAATAATTTATATGACTTTGCCTATATCTAGCATTTTTTTTTTTAATAGATCTAGCATATGATATATTATGGTAATTGGTTTTTTTTTTCAATATATATATATATATATATATATATATTGGTAATTAGTGTTGCTCTACATTGCATAATGAGTAGTAAAAATTAGCCAAGACAACAAAAAATAAAAGGATAACTATTTGTTTCCAAGTTATCTATGTCAAACAAAAGGAAACGGATTGGTTATAATTGTTTATGTTTCCTTAGTAATACCAAACAACTAGTAAGGGTAACACTATATATTACCCTTTCCCCTCCTAATTTGTTTCCATTCCCTTACATTTATTAATTTGCTACCAAACACCTCCTAAGTTGATTAACTTGTACTTAACAATGATAAACTGTTGCTACAAAAGACTAATTGTGAAAAAATGAAGGCAAAAATAGAGCAAAGATGCTTAGAAATTATGTTTTATTACTTGAGAGAGTTTACAACGGTTTAATAATGACAAATGAGATGTAATATCTATTTATATATAGGCCTCCATACTAAGTGCCTAGAACTCTCCAGTGCACTTTTGACATTGCTAATTAAGCTAGTAGCATTGTGTAGATTATTTCAGAAGTTGTTCATCACAGGATTCAGAGTTCAACATTGACTTCTATTTAATTAGATCAAATTAAGCAATCAAATATGGTAAAATATAAGATGAGACATAAAAGCGATGAGATAAATCAAATAACTCGCTCTAATAAAAAATAATTTTCCATTAAACATACACCTCAAATTTCATTCACTATTACAAATTTGTATATCAAACTTCAAATATAATCACATCTATATGTTATTCAATTATGTACTAGTGTACCATTACAATGAAAGGACCATGTTAACTCTAATTAATAATACATCAACCGTAATAAAATTGAAAACAAGCACATAAATTAAACAAAGCAACCAATACAATTACTTGATTGGTTGCAACCACTCTATTAAAAACCCATAACCAAAATAAAATACCCCTTAACTTTTGTGTAATTTTTAAGTCGTAGTCTTACCTTCAATTCACATACAACCGTTGTACAACACAAACTTCTTGTCATACCAAAGTCAATAAGTTGTTCATCAAAGTTTGATGCTTCTATCAAAAACCCAACTTATAGGAACAGAAGGCGCTTCTTTTTCCTTATCTCGAACTCTCTCTTCAATACTTCTTATTCTATGAGGCAATGTGCATACATATTCCTGCGCTCGGCGCCCTTCGGCCGAAAGCCCGGTGAGTTGATCAACCTTCCAATAGTTCACCAAATGCTCCATAACCTCGGCATAGTTTGTGACCGTGTACACTCCTAGCCGAGCAGCAACTGCCGTAAAATGACTGAACAAGTTGAAGTCGCGGCCATCGTGCATAAGGTGGCCCGGCATTGAGATTCGCTTCCTAATCATGTTAGCGAAAGCAATGACGGTTGTATCGGGGTCGACTTCGAAGAGTTTTTGAGATATCTTGGTGTAGGCGGTTTCGTGGCGCTTCTCATCGGCCGCGATAAGGCCGCATACCTTAGCAAGGTTGATATCACCGTGCTCTTTTGCTAGCCTTGCGGTGTTACCGTGTGAGAAGAATGTTGCCCTTTCTTGAAATGATGTGAATATGAAACCCATGTATGGGTTGTTCTCAAATTTTGGGTCCTACATTTGTGCAACAAAAATTAATGATTTTAATAAATATTATTGTATAGAAATATTAATTAATATACTTTGATGAATTATAATCATAAATGGTTGAGATTGAATGTTGAAAAAGGATAGATATTACGAGTAATACTTTTAATTCATATTATTTACAATGATGAGACATTTTTTACTCAAGATTTATGTCTGATAAAGCGGAGATAATAACAATGATGTCATGCTATATTACAGTGACTTGACCCGATTAGACCAACTATAAACAAATTGAAGTAATAAAATTGGGTTTTTCAAAAAAAAAAAAAAAAAAATAAAGTATTAAAATTTGAAATAAAAAGCTATGAAAGCAAAAAAGTATATTTTGTTTTTTTTTTTTTACTTGACCTGTTTTATTTATCACGCTTATCAATACAAAATTTTAATGATCAATAAATTTAATTCCTTATAAGTAAAAATTATAGAAATGATATATTATGATATTACTTATTGAGACAAATTCAGCAAAATCACACGTGAATATTTTATATTTATGTATAATTCATAAAAGATGGTCAAAGGATGGGTGGTGAATAGTGTAAAAGTAAAAACAGATCAAGTTAAAAAAAAAAAAAAAAAAAAAAAAAACGGAGAAAGTATATATATTCTTACCACTCCAGCCCCAATCATATATTGGGTAGTTTTCTCAATAGCTCTCATATCAACACGACCAGAAAGATAAAGATACTTGCTAAGAAGATCACCATGTCTATTTTCTTCAGCACTCCATGCCCTAGACCATGTAGCCCATGAAGTCGAACTCGCCCCCGTTTCATCCCTCACACCATCCATTGTATTAAGCGCCGTCTGGTAAGCCGGAAGAGATTCTTCGGTAATCATATGACCAACCAAAACAACATAGAAATCGTCTGGAACCTCTCTAGCCCTCTCTCGAAGTTCTTTGATTTGATCATAAAATCCCTCTGAAGTTGGATCAGGAAGAAAATCCTTAGGTTGCCAACATTTTTCAACAGGTTTTAAGTATTTTAAGATGTTATCTCTTGCCCATCCTTCTAATGAATCGAAAATCTCAATCTTTTCGGGTGACATTGAATGTGTAACACGGTCGTTAGGCTTCTCGCGTTTAGGGTTACTTGAGGGTTTCTTCGGAGTTGGTTTTATTGTTACTGATCTACAATTATAATGAAAAATATAGGAATATATGTGAGAAAAATTACAAGTACATAAAATTGTATACAACTTACAAATAAAGTGCATGAAAATGGCTATTTTTTTTTTTGTAAATTAAATTATAGCACTAAGGTAACATATAATACAATTATTACTGGAGTTCATGATAGATTCATTTAATATTGTACCTACTTTTTCCATTTTATCAAGATCTCAGTTTTTAGCTTAGTAATTCAATACTTAAATTAGTTAATGATCTTAAAGATGTAAAAGGTCACATTATTAGACACCATGAATAGAAAAGACAAATCTAATGAAAAGACGAAACTTTAAGGAAATTAGAGCATAATTTTAGTTGATTTGATTATTCATTAAAACACTTGTATAAAGCTATTAGTGCTACGTTTGACACGATCCATTTGTTAAAAATTAATCAAAGAACAAATATTTGTTTGGAAAAATTGGTACAACATTTGCCCATTCGCATAAATAATCCTAACTTTGAATTACTTCTAAATATTCTGAACTTTAGGGGTTATTTGCTTTAAATGGTCTCAAGTGACTGATACCCCCAAATTTTTTATTATTTAAAATAATCTAAACTTGGCATTACTTTGAGCAAACGGGAAAAGTTGGGATTATTTTTGCCAATTTTTCTTATTTGTTTTTCATATCATGAAGTTGAATTAATTAAAAACCTATTTAAAAAAAAAAAAAGTTACTCCGTATTTTATTATGTGAGGTAGTAATGACATGAAGGATTTGAGTCAACGTAACCAATCAATGACTAGATTGAAGTGATACAGATGTACATACGTAGAGTACTAGATACATACGAATCATATAATGATAAGGTATGTAGCCAATTTAAGACATCATGCATTATTTATGATGTATAGCAAGGTTATATTTGGGGATGTATAGTCAACTAAATACAAGTACTAAATAGTGGCATGTTGTATATGGTCCTATGGAAAACAGGATATATTATTGTAAATATTATTATAAAAAATGATGCGTATATTAATACCAACAAGATACATATATCACATCAATATAACAACGACTTTTGTAATCTGCCAAATGTCTTTAATTAATTATAAATAGCTTAATGTATGTGACCTTTTCTTTTATGTATCTATGACTTTCATACTTGATATAAATAGCTTAATGATATGTGACCCTTTTCTTTATAATCATTGGCTTTAGTAAAAAAAAAACATTGATGTATATACATACCCATAACGCTTAAGTATCGTTCTCAATAATAAACTACGTCCCTTTCACTAACAAGTTGTTATCAAACGTATAATAACTAATCATTGGTTTTAATAAGAATCTATGTGCATACATACCCATAACGCTAAGTATCGTTCTCACTAATAAACTAATGTCTCTTTCACTAACATGTCTCCTAGCTACCTAACTACAAACATTCCATCAGGTGATACATGTTTATTACTTTGAGATTATACATCGAGATGAATTTAAGTACTAATCTATTTTTAATTTTTTTTTATTGCATGTATTTGATCAATAATATTCTCCGTATTTAATAATTTATGGTCATTAGATCGATTTGTCTTATTGTATAAATATACTTTCCAAATTGTTTCAAAAAAAAAAAATTCCAAAAATGAATATTTCATTAATATAATTTTGTTATAGGAGAAAGGTACTTCGTATTTAGTAATAGGTAAACCCAACTAAAATAAATAGATCTGATCTGATTTGATTTTGTTATGAAATGAAGTACGTATTTCCTTAATAAAATAAACTGTAGTGATTCCAATGTAGTTTTATGACTTTTGACTATCACAATTTTTAAAATGGACGGTTGAGATTATTAATTTTTTGATTAAATTTTTCATTTAATTAAAAATTACTTCGTTTTTTTTTTTTTTTTGAAAAAAATTACTTCGTATTTTTTAATTATTTTAAATATACTTTATCTTCCAAAAATTATTTTTGCAATATTTTTCAAATTTTGGAAATAAAAAAATATATGTATATATAATAATTAAAAAATAATTTTTAATTAAAATTACTAATTAGAAATAAATTTAAAAAAACAAATAATCTCAGTCGTCCATTTTGAATAACCAAACATAACCTATGTTTCAATCTATAGCACATACAAAGGATTATAACACCGCCGGTCTTCCTTCAGAAACCGGAGATCGGAGATAAATAGAGTAGTATAGCCTACATGAAACCTTGTTAAATTAATCACAACATTATAAATAGGAGATCTAAAGAAACTCACTTAGGAGGTGCATTGTTGAGAGTTAACGCCATGCAAATCTGTGGAGCTTTAACACGGTGAGTGCTAATTTGTGGGAGAGAATATAAACTCATTGCCATTTTTGTTAAATTTTCCTTAATTCTTCTGCTCACAACTGCCGCCAAAAGCTGGAGTAACAAAACATTAAATGGATTAATACAGTGTAAATTCTATGCGGATCTTTGTCTTTAAATGCCGCAGCAATTACAAACTATACGTACAGTCTATTTTATGGATGGGAATAAATAAATAATGGTGGCACGGAATTTAATTTCTTCCTATATTTTCCCTTTTTTATACGGAGTAGTAATATTTACATCAATTGATTTTTTTTACACTATTTATGATCATATTTTACCATTAATGTATATAAATAATTTCTTTATTTACTATTTTATAATTTGTAACAATATATACTTAAAGAGATTGATTATTAATAGTTGAAGTAGTGGATTAATAATGTTTAAAAAAAAAAGTAGTTGATTAATAAACATGTGCAGGCAATTGATGCAAATATTAAAAACGGAGGAAGTGTTTGGTTTTGGGATATGATTTCACTACATATATAGACAGAAAAATATGACTTTTTATTATGCAATAAAATTTTATAGAATTAGATCTGAACATAGATTCACTGTGTATCCCTAACTAGAATGAGGAGAAATTTGGTCGTATAATCAAGTATAAACATGGACTTAGTAATAAACTTGGTATAGGAATACACGGAGTAATATATATGTACCTGGTGTAACCATTTATATATGCATGAATTTGACAATCAAATATAGACATGTACAAAGAAATAATCGCGGTACCGGGATATACGAATTACTATATATGTACTTGACTACTTGGTTAAGTGTAAGCAATTATTCATGAATTTGATCATAAGTGAATCTTATTTGAGCATTTGGTGTGATATGCTTTAATGTTCAAGCTAAAGAATTTGCATTGTACGATAGAAGTACGTAAAATTATGGTGTACGTTAGTAAAATGGAATTTATTCGTCATGTAAAATCTAAAATGTAAATCTTCATTTACGCATGCTTCTGTAATGTTTTGTCCTTGCGACAGTTACTACTTTATGGAATCTTATTTACATTTCCAATAGTGTAAATTCACATAACTGCTTGTTCGTCCATATTTATGTCTTTATTCATTATATGATGATTAACTCAAAAAAAATATTTACCATATCCACTACAACAATAGTAGTAGCAACAAAAACAGTGTAATAAGGTAATTAAGGGATACATATAATGTTAATGGCACGCCATTTATTTAGTTGCTGGTAATAAAAGGTGGTAATGATAAAGATTTTATAAGTAACTATGCGAAAAAAAAAAAAAAAATTATATGCCTAATTATTATCATTTTTACATCTTATGACCTCTTACTAAATGTGTTGTAAAGACTAGCTACATAAAAAGGAATTATTAAGATAAATAAAAATTAATTATATTATCAATCTGTACGTATTTTTATCATGAAAACTCAAATTTAATCATACCATTTGAGCAGATTTGTTTAATGTGAATATTATGCACTTTTTTCTTCATCAACGACAAAAATAAAGATATTATTAATATAACGACAATATTAGTAACAATAATAACGACGACAACAACATATATTTCTTAAATAAACTGAAATTAATATAACCTAACTCCCTCATAATATGAATAAAAGGAAAAAACCAAAGACGGAAACAAAAAGAAACGGGGAGAAATAGCACCTTATTTATTTAAGATCGAGGAAGCTTGAACAACCTAACTCAAGGCTTTCGTTGTTGGAACAAAAAGAAAAGGAGTGCTTGCTCGCTTATTATGATGAAGATGATTTAAGTGTACAAAGTTTGAGGCTATAAATAGAGTGTTCAAACGTTTAAGTTAAAATTGATAGTTGTGATGAAATAAAGGATATGGATGAATGTCCATATCATCAATAATTGTAGCATAAATTGGTTTTGTAGAAATGGGGGACAAGCCCCAATGGAATAGACTGCAAACAAATTAAAATACACTCAAAAATAAAATTTACAAACTATAAATAAAAGAAATTAAAAATTTTACTTAAGTAATTAGGTTTTGGTACCACTTCAAGTTGTGTTGGGCCAAACTATGTCATTAAATTCCTCCAACAAAATCTTACAATTGGTTTAAAAAATCCCAAATTCTTGAGTTGGCGAATCCTAATATTCCTAAGTAATCTATAGCCCGATTAGCTTTTCGATATAATATCTATGTACTTGTCAATCCACCAAACACAATAAACAACGGCATTCTTAACTTGTATTGTCTTATTTAGGGGTGGGACTTCGTTCTGGCGGTTCGGTTTGACCTCGGTTTGAGTCGGTTTCGGTTTGGAGCGGTTCGGATTGAAACGGTTTAGTTTAGCTGGCGGGTCGGTTTGGTTCGGTTTGGGTTAGTCACGGCTCGGTTTGGTTTCGGTTTATTTCTTTGCGGTTCAAATTCGGTTTGGGTCATAAGCGGGTCGGTTTATAAACGATTCGGATTATGTCGGTTCGGTTTGATACGGGTCGGTTTAGGGGGCGGGTTTACCCGGGTCAATGTCAGTTCGGTTTACAAACGGTTTGGATCAAGCCGGTTTGGTTTGAAATGGGTCGGTTTAGGGGCGGGTTTACCCGGGTCAATATCGGTTCGGTTTATAAACGGTGCGAATCATGTCGGTTCAGTTTGAAATGGGCCGGTTTAGTGGAGGGTTTACATAGTTCAATTGGTTCGGTTTATGAACGGTTTGGATCATGTCGGTTCGGTTTATAAGCGGTTTGGGTCATGAATTCATGATTGTTTTAAAGATCGCGTCATGACCATGATTTAATGAGTTGATACTTATAATACGATAAATCGATAATTAAGAATGTACAAGTATTCAATTAGATTGATCAACAAGTGTTTTAAACTTTTAAGTTTTAATAATCAGATATGTAAATATGTTTATCGATTGTAGTACATACCAATAATTCAATGAGGCAATGATACTTATGATAGTATGATAATGATACCAACCGTACATTCGTACGATATGATATACATAATAATTAATCTATAATTACATATACATTAACAATATTGTATTGAATCAATTTCCATTTCCAAACATTGCATTTCTTATAAATTATAACTTACACGAGATTAAATGGATTCGTTATTTAGTTTGTTACTTTATTTAGATTACTAACTCAAACAACTTAATAAGTTAAATGGACGAAATCACGAAATCATGACCATGATTTAATGAGTTGATACTTATAATATGATAAATCGATAATTAAGAATGTACAAGTATTCAATTAGATTGATCAACAAGTGTTTTAAACTTTTAAGTTTTAATGATCAGATATGTAAATATGTTTATCGATTATAGTACATACCAATAATTCAATGAGGCAATGATACTTATGATAGTATGATAATGATACCAACCGTACATTCGTACGATATGATATACATAATAATTAATCTATAATTACATATACATTAACAATATCGTATTGAATCAATTTCCATTTCCAAACATTGCATTTCTTATAAATTATAACTTACACGAGATTAAATGGATTCGTTATTTAGTTTGTTACTTTATTTAGATTACTAACTCAAACAACTTAATAAGTTAAATGGACGAAATCACAAAATCACTAATTAAAGTGGTGATGAAATCATTATGCAATACTAATGTACGAATAGTCAAATATACAACGGTTAGATTGAATGCCCATGAAAAACAATGGTTAGATTTTCATTACTTTATTAGTTATTACTTATTAAGTTATTATTAGTTTATTATATATACTGATATACAGTCACAGACTCACAGATATATATAATATACATATAGAGATGTCAGATATTGATGTGCATTAACTCATTAAGTCATTAACTATGTCGTATTGAATCAATTTCAATTTTGAAACATTTGCGTTTCTTACAATTTATAACTTATAAGTAATAAACTAATAATAATAATAATAATAAATAATAATAATAATAGTAATAATAATAATAATTATAATATTATTATAATAATACTATAATAGTAGTACTGTAGTAGTAAACTAGTAATAATAATAATATTAACAAATAATTATACTAACAATAATAATAATAATAATCTTTCAAAATAATAATAATAATAAATAATTAAAAAAAAACGGTCAAAAAGACCTAGAAAAGCACAAAGAAAAATCTAGACCGTTAGATCTAGATGAAAATTCTGGAATCTACAAAAAAAAAAAAATGAACGGTTAGATGTTGAGAATCCTTGAGATTGAATATGGACGGTTGATCAAATGAACAAGTAAAACCTAAACCTAGAATCTCAAGCCCACTCTATCAGCCATTCAGCCGTTTTACTCACTCTCAGTTTCTCTCTCTAACTTCTCAGTTTCTCAGTTCTCATCTCACTCATTCGTTCTGAAATTCTCAAGAATCTCAAGCTCAACTTCTCAACTTTTAAAAATCCTAATTAGGGTTTTTGTTTTCGTTTCATTTGTGTTTTGGATCTACATTTCTGATTTCTCGCTTTACATTCTCGTTTTTTTGTTTTTTCAAATCTTCCTCTCCTTCAATTTGAAGGCTTCAAGCCGTCAAAAGTTCAAAACTCAAGGTAATTTTTTGTTAATTTTTGTTGTTTTCGTTTTGATTTTTTTCGTTTTTGTTTCGGTTTGTTTATTTAGGGTTTTTGTTTTCGTTTCATTTTTGTTTTGGATCTAAGTTCTAATTTCTGACTTTTTCATTGTCGTTTTTTTGTTTTTGTCTTCCTCTCCTTCAAGCCGTCAAACCTCAAGGTAATTTTTTGTTAATTTTTGTTGTTTTCGTTTTGATTTTTTTCGTTTTCGTTTCGGTTTTTTACTTTTTTTTTTTTATTTAGGGTTTTTATTTTCGTTTCATTTTTGTTTTGGATCTAAACTTCTTATTTCTGACTTTTCCATTCTCGTTTTTTTTTTTTTTCAATTCTTCCTCTCCTTCAAGCCGTCAAACCTCAAGGTAATTTTGTTGTTAATTTTTTCGATTTTTTTCGTTTTTGTTTCGGTTTTTTTTTTTTACTTCAAGTTCTTGATTTTTTCTTTTGATCTCCAGTTCAGGCAGTTCTCCATCTTCAAATCTCCTTCAAGCCGTCAGAGACTACTCAAAGGTAATTACTTTTTCCTTTTCGTTTTTTTAATACAGTTTTTCTGTTTTTGTATTTGATTATTGTTGTTGTTGTTCTAGTCTATGTTTGAGTTTACTTCTTATAAATCTTCATAGAGATTGCATATTTCCTTTGCTTTATATCTTCTATGAGAACTAGCTAAAGCCATTGTTTGCCTCTCTTATTTGCTTGTCTGTGGTGTCAAATTCATTTGATTGTCTAAGGTCCCAAAGTGATTGAGACCTTTCTTTTTTCTGTTTTCTTGTAGAGAGTCAATAGCAGTTATAAGCTGCAGGTATCTAGAACCAATAATGTACTGCATTTTCATGTATGCAACATGCATCTTGCTTGCAATGAGACATTAAGCCGTTTGTTTTCACACTCCAAGCTAGCTATCTTCTTATAGCAGCTGATCTGTACAATTACTTGGATCAGTGGGGGTCTGTCCTGATGTTGTCTAAAAGCACTTGCATGTTTCTTATCTGAGTTTCAGAAAGCAAGGGTGGACTTTTGATGGTCTGTATTTTGGCTATCTTGTGGATATATGATTGGTGAAGAATGATAGAATCTTCAGTAACTGGATACCTAGTCAAACTGTGCGGGAAAGTCTAGTTAACTTATGCATTCCTTGTTCACTTCACCGAGCTTGCCCTGGAATGTTTATGTCAAGAATTCATTTTTGACTGCTTTGATTAGAATGGAATTTTTATGTCAAGAATTCTTTTAGTTGGGCTTAAAGTTAGTACTTAAAATGTACTCATATGTTAGTCACATGAGAGATGAGACAATGCATGCTTAATTGCTCACTATTAGTAGAATCTGTCACTTAATTTGGTACTTATAAATGCTATTTTTTTTTTTTTGTTTCAGTCATGTCTCGAGAGTATGATGAATTTGACTATGAGAGGCAATCAAATTTTGATACTGTTAGCTCTCAAGCTGCCTCTGTCCCGCTTGATGATGCTAGTAATACCGGCACTATCAATCCTTCTGTTAATAAACGTCAAAGAACCGCAGGTATATGGAAGCATTACACTTTTTTTGAAAAGACGATAGGTAATGAAAAGGTAGATTATGCTCGTTGTAATTTGTGTGGCAAAGAATATAAAGCACCTGGTAGAGCGGGTACTTCAACTTGTAGAGCTCATATTAATGCATGTTTGGAAAAGCATGGTGTCCAGTCCGGTAACGAATCACAATTTGATCAAAAAACTTATTTACAAAAGTTTGCTAAAGCTATAATCTGCAATGCATATCCTTTAAATATTGTAGAGCATGAATATCTTAGGGAACTTCATGCATATTTGAATCCTAAGGTGCAGCATGTTTGTAGAAAAACTATGTTAAAGTATGTTATTGCTGAGCATGATAAATATAAATCCTTGTTGCATGAGTCTTTGGCTAATGTTTCTGGTAGAGTTAGCTTTACATGTGACTTGTGGACTGCATGTACTAACCGAGGCTATCTCACTTTGACTGCTCATTATGTTGATAACAGTTGGTCTCTTAGGTCTAAAATTTTAAATTTTAGATATTGTGGCCCTCCCCATAGTGGTGTTGAGGTTGGAAAGTTTGTGTTTAAACTGATTAAAGAGTGGAACCTTGAAGGAAAGGCTTTTTCAATGACCGTTGATAATGCTCGTTCTATGGATGTTATGGTTGAATATTTGAAAAAAGAATTAATG